TTACTTAATTTAATAATAATCCAAGATCTAATGCTATTTATGTGTATATTAAGGTTTAAAGTAGAAGAAAAGGAACTTTCCCTTATAAAATAATATCTTTTAAATAAGGAATAGTAAGTACTTAATGAAGAGAAAGATGCTTAACAGCTTCAAGATACTCTTAAGCTAATCAGTGATAATAAAGAAGATAATGGCCTGGAGATTAGTATAGACTAACTGGCTACTCAGCAGCTATCTAAGCATGCTTAGGGTAAGAGATGAAGGAGTATGGTATCTAATAGGGAGCAAGAGGGCCAGGAACCTATTCTATCTAATAATAAAGTGGTTCTTCCTTTACCTAACACACAACAGCATATCTCTGGATGAAATTAGAAGTATATAAGGCATGAGGATGATCAGTTCCTTTATTATTAGTTGTTAGAGAAGAAATAGAAGGGTAATTAAAGATAATTTTCTTGAAATTCTTATTCTTCCACTCTTTAACTATATATATAAAGTATATACAGTTTGAATACCTATAAATATAAGATAGGACTACATAATTAATGCATATCACATAATCTAGAATGTTTGTCTGGTTTGTCTACCTAACTAGGTTACCTAAAACCCAGTTGGGTTCTATACAAAAGCCCAGAACCCAACTCAGAACACCCCCCTTGAGCCCAAAACCCAGCCCAAGTTGGGTTTGATACATGTTTCAGTTGGGTTACCTGGAACACCTGCCTAGGTCTAGCTATCCAGGTAGTCTGGGCAGTCTGGTTAATTTAGTTATTAGTCTGGTTTATTAGTAAATCTCACTCATCAGGCAGGTTTTGGTGTTCTAGGATGTTTCTTTTGGTTCCTTATGGTCATATTAATTGCAACAGGCATTTCAGTTATAGGTAGGTTAAGGTTCTCCTTCTTTAGGATAGTTTGGCTCTAGTATAGCAAGCACTCATCCCCCTCTTTAGGGAGATCTTCTATTAAAATAAAGACTAGTAAATTTAATAAATATATTTATAACCTATACCTAATTATAATACTAGAACCTCTAGAGATATACTATCTTATTATTCTTATACTATTATAGTTTTTTTTTTTTTAAATTCCCTCTTTCTACTCTAAGTAAGGACTATAAGGGCTTCTAGTTTTACCTCTTTTAAGGATATAGGAATCTCACCTTTAGTCTATTATAATAATTAATTATAATCTAGTAATAAGAGATATTCCTCTTACTAAAGCTATATTAGGGTTCTACTAAAGAGGATCTAAATCTACTATCCTCTATAACTTATATATAAGTTTATAAGTATAATTAAGTAGATATAATTAGGTGCTAGAGTAGAGTCCTAGAAGTAATCCTTTATAATATTTATATTCTATATAAATATCTTAAATATATTAGATACTTCTACTAGAAATATAAAAGACTTCTTAATCTAAAATATAATATAAATTAAGATCTTCTTTATAATCTGTGTGAAGTAAAATTTCTCTACTTTGCCCTTAAGCATAAGTAAGAATGCAATATAGAACTAATGCTCCTATAGGCTAATCTTTTTATAGATGTCATAGAACTTAACTAATTTCATGTTAAGGTTATTATACAGTCCTCTACTATACTTATCATCTGTATTGCTATACTGCCTTATTATTGCTTTAATCATTCTTAGTAATAGCATATCCTAGGGGTTTTATTAGAATCTACTGTAACTGGATTGTTGCTGTATGTGATTGTTTATATAGGTTATATTAAGTATTACAGATCTGGCTTCTTCCTATCCCTGGTCAGTGTCAAGGTGCAGGCTCGCAGGCAAGCAGGGGTGGGTTAAAGAGGTAGTTGACACTCAGGCTGGCTACACTAATCCTTATCTAACAGTCCCAGGCTGCAGGTAGGCTGGTACAGGCAGGCTCTATAGACAGGATGTAGCTTGAAGAGCTTCAAACAGGTTACAGAATTGTGCAGTGAAGATATTCCTAAGATCATGTGCTTCCTCCTTAGCGATGTCAACTCCTATCCACAGCAGCACAATGACAGTCAGCTTGTCTGAGGTGTGGTTTCACACCATTATCTTGTGAGGTTTGTAGAGTGGGTGGGTTCACCAACATAGCTTGTACTGCTGGGGTGTTTAGTTATATTACTAGTGACTAGTCATGTGCAGGGTTCTATCTAGAGTGGAAGTTGTCTAGGTGCTCCTTTAGATGGTCCTTGATGTCCTCTTTAGTCTATTCATGCTGAGTAACTTCTTAGAGATAGTTGTATAGTCCCTTCGCGAAAGATATCCCTGGACTGTTACAGTCTTTTCTTCTATGCACTTCCTTTTCTAGCTTCCTTGAGGTTATACCCACCTAACATGTTCTCCTGGGAGAAAGCGGTTTCTTTCCGCCATGGAATCAGTGGCTTGACTTAATTTGTTGCACAGTTTTATATTCCCCTCCTTTGGGCAGCGCGAGATGCATATCTCTTGCATTGGTCCTTCAGCTGATGAGTTGTCCTTGTATTCAATTCCAAATCATTGATTACACTCAACAAGGACTTAGAAGTTTCTTAGGGAGGCTATATGTTAAATAGAATGCTTCATGAAGGATTCTTAAGGGTTCCTCAAGAAACAGTCTTGCCACAATTTGACTTGGTACCTTCTTCCTTACCTGACTGACAGGCCTTCTACCCTGCATAGTAGACACCTTAACATGGACCTACCCTGATCCATACTCTGTGGGTAGTCAGGTAGAATTAAAGCATTTTTAATATAGCTCTGTTCACCACCTTAAATATGTCCAGGGTCTATCTATTAAACTCCTCATGAAATTCATTCCATAGGGTATGATCAGTAATGCACATTATGGTCTATGTTCATAATACATAAGTTATATAGCTGTTCAGTATTTCTTCTGTCTGGTTCTTCTTATTAAGTATGTTGATAGATTTCCCCTATGTCTTCTCCTTAATGACATACAGGAGGTTGTCCAGGATTAGCAGTATGGTTATTCAGGCAGAAGTAACTGTGTATAAAATAGATTAAAGAAATAAGTATGTTAGGTTATGTATTATGATGGTACTGTAAGTGTTTCCTATTAATATATTGTTTATGTGATGGACACAGATCTTTGTTATAGTTTCAACTATAGATCTTTTGGAAATCCTCTATGTCTTAAAGATACTGCAAGTATTTCCTAGTGAGATACTTTAATATCCTTTAGCACACCTTCCGCAATAAGGATACTGCAAATGTTTCCCTATTCCCTTGCAGTTAATGCCTCTTCTAGGTCATGTAAACCAAGCTGTTCTGTGGTTGTAATCAACCACTAATCAGTATTAGTCCTACTAGCTAGGGTCTATGTACATAGTTAAGTGAACCAGTTGCTTTAAAGCAATAGTGTATATTTATAGATAGATGTTCTCTGCTCAGTATCAGCATCAGTTCAGGATGCCCCTGAATCCCAGACACTGATTAGCATGAGATTATGTTATTAGTTGCTAGTCCTAATACATGAGTAGCGCATACTCAGGCCACAGGCAATGCCAATGATTGGCATGGCCATAGTAGCAAGAGTGAATATGTTCCGACAGGATATAGAGTTGCCACAATATCCTTACACACAGGGCGTTGAATTCCCGATGGTATACCGCTAGATAAATGGCCTATTACTGATATTTCAATTCATCAACTGACATGTCTCCACTCAGGTTAGCAGCACCTTATCCTGCCCCGCCTGCAGAACCCCCTCATCTGAGAGCTCTAATAATAGGTCAGCTACGTGGAACAATCACAAGGGTATCATGCAAAGAAGCACGGCTGATTGACTGATATGTGGTCTCGATTTGCTCCACTCTTCATTGCCCAAAGTATTATTACTTGGGCATCAATTCGTACTTTCTCAAGCTGTCGAAAGAAAGTGCCATTTTCAGCGAAAGTTATTTTGTATTTTGTTTGACCAAGCAAACAGGAAGGAGGTGCTTTGTCCACTGCATGAGGGAATCGAATACCTGTTCTCCACTCCATTAATAAATCTTTCGGACATCCGGTTGAGCCCCCAGCAAATACGAATCAGGGCTCTAGCCGGCCATCCATATCCGATAATTAAGTCTTTCCATCAGCCAGTTATATCAATCTGCGGGGACTGCATTTGGCTGAGCACCAGGCGACGCGTCCCCTCCGTTAGTATATGGTGCCTCCGGATCATCCGGGTTGGGCTGCCTGCACTTCAGCTGCCTATCCTCCTCATCCTCTTGGCTGTGGCTACCCTTTCTGGAATCCCAATCTGTATCCGTATTGGGGTCCTCCTCCCATTCGCGGTCAGAGTCCTCCAATTTTTGCTCCGCGCCCCTCTCAGGAGACAGTCGGGTCCTTTAGTGACCTTTGTATCCCAAGGACCCTAGTCCCAGACCTCTGTGAACCGGTCCCTATTGTAGGTCTGGTAACTGGTTGGTATACCTCTAACGCGTGCAACTTTATCCAGATAGATGGTGACAGAGAGACTCGATATACAGGCAGAAATAGGTGGATTTAAAGTGTCGGAACATATTCACTCTTGCTACTATGGCCATGCCAATCATTGGCATTGCCTGTGGCCTGAGTATGCGCTACTCATGTATTAGGACTAGCAACTAATAACATAATCTCATGCTAATCAGTGTCTGGGATTCAGGGGCATCCTGAACCGACGCTGATACTGAGCGAAAACATCGCAACCGGTTCACTTAACTGTGTACACAGACCCTAGCTGGTGGGACCAACATATCCAATTCTTCCTACTCGCGTCGTCTTTATCGCCCCACTAACCATCACTCTAATTGGATACTGCCCGATTCCCGACTCCAGTGGCTTCTTTTTTCCACCCACACTTGCAGCCTTGCGTGGCAGTGAGAAAGTTTATAAAGGGCGAGCTACCACAGGTCAATTACAGCAACAACAACTGCTACTCAAGGGTATCCGTCCATAAATCTGCCCGTCAACTATATTACCACATCTCACAGCTTGCTTCTTCGTTTGATTAGAAGATTGATCTCTAGATCCGGGATGTCACCTTCTGAACAGAATATTGAGGACCTGTGGACGGATGCAGTTATAAAGTACAATAGCGACGAGGACGACCCCAAACAATGTACAATTCAAGAGAAACAGGATATTGAGTATGAATGGATAACTGCTTTTAATAAGGCGACAGAATCGAAGGGTTTGCTAAGCAATTTTTCGAGACGCCGCCATTCAGAAACGGCTGTGGATCAGGTTCGAAAATCGTTCTTGAGTGTAATCAACGCAGTCAGCAATGCCGTCGAGCCCATTGGTTCGCTGGCCGCCTGTGCGTATCCCCCAGCATCGGCCATCTCACAAGCGATACTATTTGTCTTCCAAGCCTGCCAGAAGGTCTCTCAAAACTTGGACCAGATCGCCACTTTCTATAAGACTATGCAGATCTTCTTTGAGAGGCTATCTCTGCTGGAGGAAAGATTGCCTCAAGAAAAAGCGTTCGGAATGCAGTTGACACGGGTCTTTTGTGCTCTCTTGGACATGTGCAGCGAGGCGAAGAAGTATGTCAAACAGGGCAGAGCGATTGCGTTTTTGAGAGCTGTGGTTGGTAAGGATGATGGCCTGGCAGGTGCTTACAGCACATTCACTGACCACATGAATGATCTCGAGTCGAGTGTCATCCATGCCACCCTGGGCACGGTGACTGAGACAAGTCGACACCTGAAAAATATGGAAGAGAGGTTCATGGGGGTACTCTCCCGTATAGACATACGGGCGGCGTTGGTCTTGGACCATGCCGCTGTTGGATTCCAGAAGCGAGCTGAAACCATCCAAAGTGGAGAGAGTAGATCTGGCATGTTGGCCACTCGTACAATGGATAGGAATACGGGGACTCGCCCGCTCGACAGCTTCGAATACGTGCTCAAATGGCTCTGGACACCCGCAGAGATTCCATTGGGCCAGTGGAAACAGCAAGCGGAGCGCTCCTTGATCGAAGAGATCTGCGCGTGGGTCGATCCGCAGTTGATTCAACTGATCAAGGAGACGGATGCCGACCCACTGCCTGTTCATATCAGCGGCCGCCCGGGTACAGGAAAGAGCATGCTCGCATTTTACATCTTTCGCTTCTTGCAGAATAATATGAAGATTTCCCCCTCGCCCAAATTCGTCGTCTACTTCAACTTTTGCACTGAGACGGGAAGGACCTGTTCACTTGAGGAGATGTTGTGCTCCTGTGCCTTGCAAGTCGCGGAGAAAGATCTAACTTTTCGAAAGGCTCTTATCCGCATCATCAATCAAGGATGTGAAAAGTGCAATAAAGGAGCAAGATGTCCTTGCAAACATTGGGTACCTAAATTTGCGACCGCATTAGAAAAACAAACGCTGTTCGTCGTTTTGGACGGGTTGGACCATATGGGAAAGGAAGATTTACAAGCTGCTCAAAACTTTCTAACACAAAAGAGAGAAAACATTGGACTGATCCTAGTTGCACAAAATAATTCGCCAGAGCAGACACGGCAAAGTCAGAGAGATATTGTTATTCCAGAACAGCACCTGAAAGAGGGTCTAGAGAAATTTGCTGACGTTCGTCTGCTGGACCTACCACGATTCTCCCGGTATACCAATCGTCGGAGAGAATACATTGCAAGGCTGGCGAGCGAAAAAGCGGAAAATCTGGACAACGGTATGCTATCTGGTCTCGTGCCGGTATTTGTCGTTTTTTGAGGCTAACCTTGGATGACTAGGGTTTCTCTACGTCCATCTCATGCTCCATCATCTCAATGAAACTAAGGGCCGACTCACTATAAACGAAACGGTCTTCCCTCGCCACACTGATGATGTCTACAAAATGATCTTTGTTGAAGCAATTGACGGCCGGAGTACCGCTGACAGGGATCAGCTCCATAGCCTCCTTACGTGGCTAGCCTGGACCAAGGACCAGCTCACCCTAGGGGCGGCAGAACAGCTGCTTGAGGTGGCTCGTGAGTGGCTGAAGCCGAAGGACGGGAGCAGTATAATCAGCATCGAGGCTGAAGTGTACAGTCGATATTCTAGGTGAGTTTAGGAGAAACGGAAAGCCTTATCCGCTGTGCAGTGCTTATGCCTTTTTAATATAGAATCCTTGTCCTCTCGGCTAATCCCAATCCAAGAACCGAGTTAACAGATGGATTTGCAGAAGACGAGGATCACGATGATGGCAGCTGCAGCTTGCTGAGATTCTCTGCGCCCTCACTCAGGACCTACTACCAGGCTCACAGCGATGGACTGTACAAAAAAGGAGAACTTTTCCAAAAATATGACTCGCGCCAGCTTATGTTCAAACTGATGAAAAAAATTCTCGAGAGAAAAGGAGGGGGGACCCGGGCAGAGAAGGAGTTGATTTCCCTCGCCGCGAAAGGCTGGCTGAGGCATTCACGTCTAATCTGGGAAGACTCGGCAACAGACCAAGCCCAAATCGAGAAAGACATCCGCGACATATTCACGGAGAAGTGTGATGTTCTGCGGAGATTGGAAAGAACGGTAGACATCACCAAACCAAATCCATCAGTATTTACAATCAAGGATCTGCAACAGTTACAGGAGTTACTGTTCACAGACAACTCTATTAGTAGCCTCTGGCGCACTATTGCCAGAATCCATGTGAACAACTGGTGGAGAGCAAAAACTCCCATCGAGGCCTACACCTCTTTTCGACTGGCCCATCAGGCCCTTCTTGAATCCAAGGAGCAAGAAATCCTTAAGCTAAAGTCTCGGACCTCTCGCAAGAAAATGATGGTGGAGGTTTCAAAGTTTTTCGACAAAGAATGGGAGCAGAAACTAGACAGCCTGAGTAGAGCGAAGCGGTTCAGAAAACGCTCCATGGCCTTGCGCTATGATGGGCACTATCAGGAAGCCATCGACGATATAAAATCTGGCATCGAACAATGCAAAACGGCTGATGAAAAGCATTCCAGGCAGGAGTTCAAGCTGCTGGACAGAAAAGGGCGTACCTATTTCGGTTGGTCTGAGGATGTTGAAGACAGTAAGGGCGAGGGAGGTAAAAGAGAACCGGGATCAAAGCATCTAGAGAAAGCAGAGAAAGCAGTGGTATCCTTCAAGGAGGCGCTGGAAAATTCGGACGTCATGAAGAAGAAAGATAATGGGCAGACTGACCCACTTAACATGACCTACCAGCTGAAAGCAAAAGCAGAGGCGCTCTTGTGTCGATGGGAAGAGTGTTTGGAGAGTGTGCAAAATGCTACAGGTGTGAAGAGGGCAGATGGGGCAAACGAGGGAAACAAAGAACCCCAAATCCTCATTTATTTTGATGACATTGTTCTCGCCATGGCAAACAATGGCGCGGCAGGAAGGATCATAGCCCTACTAGAACGCGTGCACAGCAACCAGCTTGCGGTAGGATGCACTGACAGAACACATGCGCTTCTTCAGTGTGCCGCAAGGAGTGCCTGTGCGGGCCGTGCGGCCAAAAAAGAGGGTCCCCTAGAGAAGATGTACGGCGCAATCAAAACCCGAAAAGAAAATAATCCACTTCTACCGCTTAATCCAATTATCGGCTGGTATGGAGCACTTGCACGCCATTTTCTGGAGGACCCAGAAAAGGCAAAGGAATACCTTGAAATGGCGCTAACACCGGATGTGGAGACCGAAATCAAGGCGGTTATTCCGGCCAGTTGCCAACTGGCGGATATGCTCCTGAAGGAATTTTGGAACGTCCCAGATACATCTAACGCATCGGAAATTCTGTCCTTACGACAAGCAGTGTGCAGCAAGATGGATCGCCTCGTTGAAATCGTCGCTGCCCAAGTTCCAGAATCCCAATCGAAGCTATCACAGGCAAGGATCCCGCTTGCTATGATGCACGGTGCGCTGAGGTCGGTTGTGACGTTCAAGAAAGAGACGGACGTGATATTCAGGACATGCTGCGCCGCGCTGGAGGATCATATAGCATCCAACGATCCCCCAAGCTTTCGGATGCTCGCGAAAGTGCTAGCCCTGTTCTGTGACTTCTCGAGGCGCCCTAAGCTGAAAGAGAGCGCCTCGATTGCATGTGCCTGTCAATTCTACATCATGGATGAGGAGGTTGTCAAGGCAGAGGAAGCTCAAGCAGAGACTTCGACTGGATCAAGGGCAAAAAAGCCCAAAGATCTGAGAAACGCTAGTCACCGTTCACGATCGTCCAAAAGCTCAGACACGTCAAACGAAGCCGCTGGAAATAATCCATTATGGTCTGTGGAGTGCAGTGGCGGCTGCTTAACAATAATCCACGCGAATAACCTCGAAACTGAACAAGCTTTTTTGTGTTACTACTGCACCAACACGATCCTGTGCAAAGCATGCTACAGAGATCATAAGAAATCACATGATGGTTGCAAGATATGCGAGGAAAATTGCAAGAATGCCAAAGATGCTGAACTGAAAATGTGCTATAAATTGTGTATCCCGTGTCAACCATACCATCGGCACATCCAAGCGGTCCAAGCGGTCCAAGCCGCACCCAATGGTTTCATGAAGTTTAAGAAAAACAATATCGATAATAAAGGTTCCACCGACAGATTCAAAAAGGGGCTTAAAGATTGGCTCAAAGATCTTCAAACGACATGGGAGGAAGAATGGAAAGCATTTCTAAAAGATTGCACATGGCAGACCTCCAGGAATCAGAGCCAGGCCTCCAGGAATCAAGATGCAAGGGCTGCAGCGCAGGCTAGGGGAACTCGGCGTCCCGCCCCGCGATCAACTGCACTGGGATGACAGTTATTGCCTTTGACGGAGCCACTTAGAAAAGCCTTGAATATTTGGGAAATTTCATATTGTGACCTGAATCGCTGGACTCCAGTTGAAATTGATCTTTGCGGGCACTTGATCGATTCTAATCTAATTCTAGATGAATACATCCGGCTCTACGGCTCTCGGGGCAATGATCTTTAAATCTTATAACACAGTAGATTGTATCTCAGCTATACACCTATAAGCCCTGGCCTGCATATGGTTAAATTTTTTAAGGATCACGTCCAAACGATTCGACTAAAAGGCTATTGCAACATTTTCTAGGATCTTTGTTGAGATTATATCTCAACACGCCCCTTAATTCTAGGGAGGATGTAATTTGGATTAGCTATTCTATTTGACTATTTCTAACAGATCGAGCTTCACCTCTCGAAGATAAGAAAGAAGTGATAATCCTAGAATGACGACATGTCTATCCAGGTCTGTGTATGATGTGAAACTACCATGCATAAAGTTCTTCTGTTGCAACTTGCAACAGCAGGTGAATGAGCTTTATAAAGCAAATCAAAAACGAAAGCATAAAGCACCTAGGTCCTTTATTGCTGCAGGCGGTCTCAAGGCAAGCAGCTTGCTCAGGAAGCTATACAGTTATTAGGAGAGGAGGGGCAGATTCAGAAGAAGCGTGCACCGCCAAAGTGTTCGAACTGTGGGGTAATTGGTCATATTAGAACTAGATGTCCTAGTAAATAGACTACCTAATAAACATCAGACTATTTAGGCTGTTAAAATTGCAATGATATGATACTTGAAGGTGTTGAATTCATGGCTGTTCGGCTGCTCGAATTCGTGGGCCGCTCGGTAGTGGATTACGTTAACTAAGTTAATTTAACTTACTGTTATTTACACCTGTTCCAGTCACCTCTGTGGTATCGATTGATATATAGTCCTTAAACATACGAAATACTGGGCGCCGCATATGTCTACATAGTACTCTTTGATGTAGCACTGTACCAACAGGTACAACAATAACATGACGAGAGAACTATGCAACTAAGATAAAGTGAACTAGAATATTAAGCAAAAGAATCAGACGTCGAAGGACCAGCCCCAAATACGCAGCATCAACCCACCCCCCCCAACCCCCAACACACACACACCAAAAAAAAAAAAAAAAAAAAAAAAAAAGGGAGGAGAAGAAGAAAAACAAGCGAAGGGATGCATAGAGAATCTAAATTGGGCCAAGGGCAGACAACGGCCGACGTGATACAGTTCCATGCACTGTCTCAGCATGGTTCATCAATGCTGATTTACTCTCTAACTCTTCCCTGCAGATGCTGCATTTGACCCGCATGTCTTTTGGATATGGTATGACGTGAATGTCAACAAAGTGACGGCCGAGGGACCCAGGGGTACGAAAGTTTTTGACTCGCTCACGTTCCGGCAAACGAGGATTCCCCAGGCAAAGGAAACAAATCGTCGGCCGCTCATGTCGAGCTTTAATGCAGACAGACGCAATTGCATGAGAAAGAGTGGTCTTTTCTTCCTTAGGTGAAGGGCATTCTTGCCTTTTCGCAGGGGGAGCAGAAGGCAAGTCGTCCATGGCGCGACGTTTCTGGGTAGTTTTTGGTCGCCTTGTGGGTGAACCCTCCTCCACATCACAGAAAGCGAAAACCGCATTGATTGCAGCAATCCGACGTTGATACTCCTTTTCGACAGTTGAGCCTGGCATGGTCAAGATGGTGTCGATCAATATCATATGCTGTGGGGTCATATATCCTGTCCGCTCCAGAGCACCCATCACCTCTTCATCCACCACTTTTCCAGCGAGTTGCCTCTCACTGTCAATCACTGGCTGCTTGTTCTTATATCGTTCCAGATTCTCACGCACCAAGCGGTTACGTTGTCGTTGCCACTCATTCCGAGCCACACGTTGTGCCTGGCTATGCCTTTGGGTCGCGCGCATGTACTTTCTCTCCCACCGCTCAACAATGTCGAGCGCCTGACGAGCGGGGCGTTGCAGCTCCTGTTTCACTTTCCATTGTTGTAGGTAATCGCCAAATTTTTGCTGGAAGTCCCGTTCCGCCATCTCAAAAGCCCGCTTCATCTTGTCCCGAACTTCTTTTCTTTCATTGAATCGCTTCTGCAATTCGCACACGCGTGGGACCTTATTGACAACGCTAGTGTCCTCTAATTTGTAAGGTCGACGGGGGTTAATTGACTGGCTCATGGACGCTGCAAACCGCATTAGCTGTTTCTGGGCCGGCAGTCCCCGAACAATCGCCTGAGCGTCAACGTGGATGCCCACGCTATAATGTTTGACGAAAGTGTCGATGCTAGCATGCTGCAACATCACGTTTTGGAGCTCGTTGGTAACGTCCGCTGTTCGTCAGAAGATGGCCGCGTTAGTATGGACGCAGTCATTTCCACCCCGGAACAAGGTAAGAGAACTCACGGCTGTCATTGAATGCTTTTGCTGCTCCGTAACGGAGACAGTACGGCTTTGTGACCTGCTCAAAACCTGTGATTTCCCCCCCTCGCTTCATTTGATATTGAAGTGCTCCTTCCGTGAGTTGCTCTTCCAAGGTGATTTGAATCCCATCCGCCTCGCGCACGGCCTGACAGAACACAAACTGATCGAGAATTTCATCCTTCAATTTCAGTTCTTGTTGTCCCAGTCCATCTAAAACACCGAGGTTATATAAATTTTCGGGACAGTCTACCACTAGCCCGTCCGTGGAGAAGTTCTTGAACGCCTTAATGCGAAACAGCATCCCTAGAAGAAACACGTGGGGGCTGAGGACTAAGGTCGGGTCAAAGATGATTTCAGGAATGGGAAAAGTATTCCTATCTCAAACATGCTCAGCTATGGTCTGCCATGGGCTACCACCGATCTATCAATACTTGAAATGGAGGTTGCAAAACTTACTGTTCCTTCTCACCCAAGAAAGTCTTCGTAAACTCCGGGGTCAAGTAAATGAATAACAGAGGACGCCCTCCGTCCGGATTACGGACAAGAGTGAGCAAAAGGTTCCGATAGCGTAGGTTCAGAAGCGCTCCTGGGCGGCTACCAGTGATGGCGGCCAGCTGGCAGAAGAGGAGGAGTTGTATCCGAAGCCACCCAGACTGAAATGTCATCTCTGTCATCGACAGAAGCACGCGAGCGAACTCCGCCACGTCTTCGATATCCCTGTATTATCAAGATTCACAATCGATGCTTCGGGAAGTATGTGCCGTAAACTATGACGAATGGGAGATTTCAGGTACGATATGTAGACTGCAATCCTCTTCCCCAGAGATTGTGTCTTCCGTGTTGTGTCTGACGAGGTTATATTCTGAGGTTAGCCATCATATGTCAGGACCGACTGGAGAGAGAAGCTCCCATAGCTTCAGTTTACTGGCCTAGAATATTACATACCTCTGGCGAGCGAATTGGAGAAATCCGTGTCTTTACGGCAATCAGAAACAAGCGAGCGATTGTCCAGGTCCCTTGCACAAGCCAGGAGTGGGGAAAGCCTACTACGGTCGTCACCTCGTTCGTTGACGGCTTAGACATAGCGGCATGCCGTGGTCATGGATTGGGAACAACCAACAGAACACCTATTTGCATATTCTATCATTCCAAACACCGAGGGATCCAAATGATCCACATACCCGTTGATGAAGAGTACACAGAGCAATTGCGTAAGTTTTTGCTCCATGAAGGTGTCCATCACCGGCTGCGTGAAGTACTCGTGTCGGATATAGCTCGTCCATCTAGTGTGCCCATGATAATTGACTCTGATTTGAATGATCATCGAGAGGAGGGGAAGGTGCCTGATCCGATCAATGAGATAATAGCTGATCGTGACAGGTGGAAGGGAGATTTTGAAACAGAGAGGGAAAAGGTACGGATTTTTTTTTTTTTTTTTTTTTTTTTTTTGTTTTTTCATTTATTCCGTAGGTTCACTGCTGATGATATAACGCAGAAAGAGTCCATATCATCTGAGTTACGCAAGATCACTGCTGAACGTGACAAACTGCAAGATGAACTGAAAAAGCTTAAGGCCAAACCTCCGTCAGAAACCCGGAAGAATGAACAATGGGCACCACGATTCATCATTCCAGGCATCGAGTTCTCCCCCGACGGGAAGTGGCTCGCGTCCAGGTCTTACGATAAGACTATGAGGATTCGAGATGCAGGGACAAGCACCCAGCTGATCCAGTTTACTACTGCTTATGCCTATCTCAGTTCGACGCCATTTTCGCCCGATGGCAAGTCCATTGCATATCCCGGTTCCGCCAGCCTCTGGGATCCAATGACGGGACGGGAGCGAATCCGACTTCAAGGAAGTTTAGTGATGTCTGAGCCAATTGCCTTCTCTACCAATGGGAGGCTGGTTGCGTCTGGACATAGCACCGCAATCAATGTCTGGGATACGTCAACCGGCGCGCAGAGACAGAGGCTAATCAAACCAGGTTCTGAGAAGAACATTGAGACGGATACGATCAAACATATAGCCTTCTCTCCTGATCCCGATAGTAAGATCCTGGCCTCTGCATCGTGGTGGAAGACAGTAACTCTGTGGAATACTTCAACATGGACAGTGCAGAGGATACTGGACGTCTCAGCAGCCTATGTCCACCATGTCGCATTCTCTCCGGATAGCAAGCTCCTTGCTACAGCGTCGATTGACGGTAGGATCCGACTTTGGGAGGTGGTCACGGGCAGTGAGCGGCCTAGTCTTCAAACCCGTCCATCCTGTGTGTCATACTGCGTCGAATTCTCACCGGACGGTAGGTTCATCGCGGCCGGAGGTAATCATGAGAAGGTCATGGTATGGGATGCAAAAACGGGGGCTCTCAAGCAGGAGCTTGATGGTCATCGCCTTGGAGGTAATGTATCTTGTCTGGCGTTCTCACGGGATAGCAAGTCACTAGCCTTTGGGAATTCGGATGGCATGCTGAAAGTTTTCCAGACAAGCTGAGTCAATGATGTATTCTAAAAAGCGTGATCCTTAATGTCGATTGTCTTCGTAGTAGTTGAATCCTGTAAATAATCGGGAATTAGAAAAAGAAGTATATGGGGAGTACCTACCCTTGAAGCCGTGTTAATATCGGCCACCCAAACAGGAAGGGGGTAGAGCTTAGGAGCTGAATGACCGCAAGACGCGCCATTCTTTTCTCCACAGCTGGAAGCCTGGAACCAATTTCCACTTTCAAGAGTGACGATTGTTAAGTTATTAATCCCATATTCACCTACAGTTCAAGAATGTACTCCGTATCAAGTACGAGTTTTGAATTGACGGCGCTCATGTTCTTGAATTTTCGTTCCATTCTCCTTCCTTATAAGTCGCCTCGGACTACGACTTGCTGACCTTGACCCATGCGTCCAATCGCCTGGGCTCTCATCAGTTGATCAAGGTATTCATCCGAGGCGTGTTGTTGCCTGCCAGGGCCAACAACTGAAGAACTATCTGGACTTGATATCCACCAATCATGTCTTGAGAAGTAGACTTAAAGGAACACACTGTGGAACGCCGGACCGACGTGTCCCCCTCGCTGGTAGGCCCTTTTCTCATGGAAGATTGGAGTAGTTTCTGAACTTTTCCTCCAAATCACGTGAGAAGCAAAGTTTTGTGGACGCAAGATTTTACGAGTCTGTGTTCGATAATTTTAATGTCCCAGAAGATACATTCCGGAAACTCAGGATAAGATGTGCTGGTTTTAAAGGTTCGGAAGGAAATGTGGCCCCTGACGATCTGTGGCACAACTACGAATGGAGGCGCTTGTGGCCAAAGATCGAATCTCTATATTGGATCATTTATCTAGTGGGCTTATTATCTCAGTCTTTAGATCACCTGTGGTTTTGTGTTCAACAATCGTAATTAGGGCTGTTGACGATTTTGACGATACGATATCGGCGACGATACAAAATCGGCAGACGTCAGATTCTGACGATGCCGATTGACGATATTATCGCCAGGGTCCCAGGTTTGCCGATACGATATTGGGGAGAACCTGACGATATCGTCAAATCGGATAACTTGATTTAGAATATATATATGTTTCGAGGAGCATGACATTCAGGCAACATCACGGATTATTGTTGTGATATTTTCTCTATGAGAACAGTCTTTCGAAAGATATCCTAGCTAATTCTTGTATGCATCACCTATTAACATCAACATTCTCATAGTATTCGCCTTCATTGAATGCCTTCGAACACCCAATAGATCTCTCCCTGTACTAAACAACCTTTCAACAGCAACTTCAGAGGCAGGGATTGCAAGATAATCCCTAGCTGCTGCTGCCATTCGCGGATATTCACCCTTATATGTTCGCCACCAATTACAGAGCCAATTTTGATCTTTAGTATCAGTAACGGTGACCAGAGGACTATCAAAGTACCTGTCGATGTCAGAAAGTAGAGGTTGATTTCATGATTGTAACCTCTGCAGCATCCTAGACTCCGCATCACTAAACTCCACAGGAGGGTGTTATTGAGTTATAATAGATGAATTCAGCTGTGCATCATTGGGTGGGTATTTCTGATGAAGAGCAGAGCAGATAGCCTGTAGAATCAGGGCACTAGCATTGTTGTCTCCTTGCGATTCATCTAGGATTAGACCACCTTTAACTCTAGGATCCAGGACGAGAGCAGTGTAGTATGTGTTGGATTCATTCATGAAGGTATAGTATTTTTCGTACTTCTTCATACCCTCCTTCACTGCAAGTGCAAGATCTTGATCAAGTCCTGTAAAGTCACCATTGCATTCAGAGGCATCATTAAGCAAGTCATGGAGCTCATAGTAGATTAGTACAGTAAGGCTGATCTAGGGCTTCTTTTTTGAGATGAACAAAGTAAACTCATTAAACTTTAAAAGTACTCTGTGGATCTGTGTACGCTGTGACTAATCTTCTGTTGTAAATGGTGGAAACTTAGTTTGAAGCTCCAAGAACTTATTAATCTGTTGCTCTGAAATCAAGCCATCGTTAAGCATGTGGTAGGTTGAATTCCACTGGGTATCAACATTATATTTAATGAATTTATCTGGAAGATCGTTGATCTTACAGACCTCTTTCTACTTCTATCTCTGCTGGGGATGTCAGTTAATCCAGAGTGCTAGGATGCGGAGTCTTCCTAATGCTATTTGAGTTGTAATAGGGTTTCTATTTTATAAACTGTTACAAGCAGCATTTGCTTCCTCCACATCACCAGACTTCAAGGCACAAAGTATATCTTTGGTAATGAGGTTCAGGATATGGGCCAAGCAACGGATATAGCTATCTAGACCTTGATATAGGAGCATTGCATCTTTCTTCTAGAACTAAAGTCTGTTTAATAGACTGTGAAATAACTCTAAGGCCATGGTCTTATTATTACTAGCATTGTCCCCAGTAATAGAAATCAGCTTCTGCTCAAGACCTAACTCTATAAGAGTAGACTCTACTACTATGGCTAGATTTTCTCCACTGTGCGCTCCATGGAGTTCTATAAATTCTAGAACTTTTTCACGGTATTCAAACTCCTCAGTGAGCCAATGACCAATTATACTGATAATTAGGAGGTGGTTCTTGCTTGTCCAGACATCAAGAGATAAGGTAATTGTTTTGCAAGTGGTAGTGAGCTTCTCTTTCAATTGAAGATATTGTACATTGAAACCATCCATAAGTTGTTGTCGGAGAGTATGTCTAGAGGAGAATGGAAGCGCAATTCCTGGGATATCCTGAAATATCTATCAAAACATTAGAGATTCGATAGTTATAAAGGCTTGCTTTTCAGAGACAATCCAGTGAAGGAGATTCTTTTCTAGAACTTATTGATGGCCAAGGTTCCTGTCGGAACATATTCACTCTTGCTACTATGGCCATGCTAATCATTGGCATTGCCTGTGGCCTGAGTATGCACTACTCATGTATTAGGACTAGCAACTAATAACATAATCTCATGCTAATCAGTGTCTGGGATTCAGGGGCATCCTGAACTAACACTGATACTGAGTGAAAACATCTATCTATGAATATACACTATTGCTTCAAAGCAACTGGTTTACTTAACTATGTACACAGACCCTAGCTGGTGGGACTAATACTAATCAGTGGTTAATTATAACCACAGAATAGCTTAGTTTACATGACCTAGAAGAGGCATTAACTGCAAGGGAACAGGGAAATATTTGCAGTACCCTCATTATGGAAGGTGTGCTAAAGGATATCAAAGTATCTCACTAGGAAACACTTGCAGTACCTTTGAGACATGGAGGATTTCCAAAAGATCTACAGTTAAAACTGTAACAAAGATCTGCGTCCATCACACAAACAATATATTAATAGGAAACACTTGCAGTACTGTCACAACACGCAACCTAACACACTCATTTCTTCAATCCATGTTATACACAGTTACTTCTGCCTGAATAACCATGCTGCCAATCCCGGACAACCTCCCATACGCCATTGAGGAGAAGACATGGGGGAAATCTGTTGACACACTCAATGAGAAGAACCAGACGGAAGAAATACTGAACAGCTATATAACTTATGTATTATGAACATAGACCACAATGCGCATTACTGACTGTGCACTATAGAACAACTTCTATAAGAAGTTCAATGGATGGACCCTAGACACATTTAAGGTGGCGAACAGAGCCGCATTAAAAATGCTTTGATTCCACCTAACTACCCACGGAGTATGGATCAGGGTAGGTCCAGGGATATCTTTCACGAAGGGACTATACAACTATCTCCAAGAAGTCACTCAGCATGAATAGACCAAAGAGGACATCAAGGACCATCTGAAGGAGCACCCAGACAACTTCCACTCTAGATAGAACCCTGCACACAACCAGTCACTAGCAATACAACTAAATACCCCAGCAGCATGAGCTATGTCAGTGAACCCACCCACTCCGCAAACCTCACAAGATAATGGTGTGAAACCACACCTCGGACAAGCTGACCAGGGATGGGAAGAAGCCAGATCCACGATACTTAATACAACCCATATAGATAATCACATACAGCAATAATCCAGTTGCAGCAGATTCCAACAAAACCTCCAGGATATGCTGTTACTAAGAATGATTAAAGCAATAATAAGGCAGTACAGCAATACAGACAACAAGTATGGCAGAGGACTGTATAATGACCTCAACATGGAATTAGTCAAGTTCTATGACATCTGTGAAAAGATCAGCCTACAGGAGCATTAGTTCTACATTACATTCTTGCTTATGCTTAAGGGCAAAGTAGAGAAATTTTACTTCACACAGATCAAGGGGAAGGTGAGAGATTTTCCAATGATGGTAATAATGATGAGGGCGTACTTCGACACGGAAAAGAACCATCAAAGGTCTATCACTGAATGGAGAGAGACCACCTTTCTGAGGATAATTACTCAAAATCCGGGGAAGTCACGCTCAGAGTGCCTGGAGATACTCTTTGAAACACTTAAGAAGATCCAGCCAGGATTGCCCCCAGAACACTGGTCGGAGACAACCCTACAGGAGCAAACCATAAATGCTTGCAGAGGTGTTGAGGAATGCAAATTCTCCTTGCACAGGCCGGCGAGCACTCTGGAGGGGGTATAAGCAGAACTGCGATCAGCAGTTGCTAATGTGACTTTCTCACCACATGCAGGGCAGTTCCAGGCTCATGAAGAGTACAACAGGCATGATCAGCATTAGACTGATTGCACATACAGAGGGAGAGGTTGTGGATACAGCCGCGGAGATTATAACCAGCGCCAGGGAAGCCATGGACATGGTCACAGCCGTGAACTCACTCCCTTTCGTGGATCAGGACCATGAGGAGGCTACTGTGGAGGTTGATGGGGCAATCAAGGGTCCCGCTAAGGGAGATGCTATATCTGTGGACGACCAGGATGCTGGTCGAAGTACCATACTGGGGAAGAACAAAAATAATCCCTTGACAACTTCCGCGAGCAATACTTCTTTACAACAGGCTGAGCAGCCACCCCGCA